CGAAACTACCAGCTGTTCTGCGGGAGAAAGATGAGGCGTTCTGCTCCCGTAAAGATTTACAGCCTCGGAAACCCAGTACAGGGTCGCTATGAGTCGGAACCGACTCCACGGCACACAGCCACCACCACCACCACCACCAGGGGCGCCATTTTAGAAATAACAAGCCGCTAAGGCGGCGGCGGCAGAGGCCCTAATTCCATAGATTTTTTAAATAAATAAACAGGTTGTTGTTAAGTTGTTAACTGCCTTGGAGTCAATTCCGACTCATAGTGACCTTGTATAGGGTCTCTGATGAGCGGCTGGTAGGTCTGAACCACTAACCTTGTGGTTATCCACCCACTACTTGTCCTGTAGCACCACACCATGGCTCCAAAGAAATAGACAATGTTATATTAAATAAAACAATAAGTTTATAAAACTCTATGCACAGAATAATTCCAAACTAAGATTTAGCATACTTAGAAAACAAGGTTGGAATACATAAGATTATTTCTGGGTTTATAGATTATATGTGATTTTTATTGTTTTTAATAATTTTTCCATTGTGGTCATAAATGTTTTTCCTAATAATAATAGCAGTATGAATAATAATTAAAAGTCCATTTAAGAGATGTTTTTAAAAGGAAGTTTGTTGCTCTATGGGACTGTTAATCATTGGCATTATTAATACGTTGTCATGCTAACGGTGATTTGGGGGAGAAATTGAGAAGTTTTTGATGGAAGCCAGTAGGATGTGTTGCTGTTGTTGCTTTTAGTCCTCATGAGCACATTTGGTTAAAATCATCTCTATAGCTGCACCACTCCACACGTGTGACTGCTTTTTGCCCAATCAGCTTCCAGCCCTGACTGTAATTGGTGGTTACTCTCCCTGCCGAGGCTTGCTGTGACCACTGCATCTTTCAGCTCCTGGTTGGTGGGCTGCTCTAAAAGCCTGAAATAAATGCTGTGAGTTGTATCTGGCTGTAGGGGAGCTTTCCAACCCCAGGAGAGGAGGACACTGAAGAGCCAGACACTCAGCCCTTCTGCTACCCTACCTAAGCTTCCACAAACTGGACTTGCTTTCTTATCAAATGATATTTCTGACCTCTAGTCAGTTCTACATCCAGAAATTAAAAAGCCACAGCTTAATTCGGAGCTAAGGCTATTGTCACCAAGAAAAAGAATCAAGAATCAAGAAGGCCCCCTCACTGTTTCCATTTCCTAAGCAGTAAAAGGAGAAAGGTGGACTGGGCTGTCTGTAAATGTCATTTTTTATTGACAGTTGTCAGGCAGGCAAGCAGGTGTGTGGAGGTACACACACACACTGTCAGTGCTGCAGTCAGAGGCTTCTTCCAGGTTAGGTGAGTGCCCAGGGGCCAGTGGGAAGTCTGATCCCTTGTTTCAACCCTTCCTGGCAGACAGAAATGTACATATAGAGCAGCACAAACGGTGTTAGCAACAAGCAACTCCATCCCAGCACCTGGCCAATTTACAGGTTGAGGACAATTTTATGAAGATTTGAAAGGGAACCCACAAATCTAGCAGAAATTAGAAATACTTATTCCCAGTAATTAGAGATCCCATTAATTCTTTCAGAATTAGCAGATTTGTTATAACTCTAGGTTGTAGATATTAATGAATTGCTCTGGGTTTTTTGTTGTTTTTTTTTCAGTATGCATGCATTCTCTTATGCAGAAGGTATTTAATAATATGTGTAACAGCACTATTTCTAATCTAGCATCATTTTAAAAGAAAGCATAGTTCTAACTTTCTCAAAGAAGGGAAGCAGGAAAAAAAAGGGGAGAGCAAGAAAAGGCACTCACATAATATACCATGTGCTGGAAGTGATGCTCAGTATCCAGAATAATGTCAGAAGCTTGCTATGCACACCCCTTGCCCTAAATTCGCCACCCCTAAATGTCCACTCACCTGCCTTTCTTAGCCGTTCTCGTGTCCTTTTCATCCTTGCCAGTGTACTCGGCTTTCAGTGACCAAAACCCATCCCCACCACAAAAGGAAGATGCCAGATTTCATATTCTGCACAGATAATGTGGATTTCCAAATCCAAATAATTCTCTCAAGAAGCAGCAAAAACAAAAGGGATATTCTTTTTCTCTCTTAACTCATTATTGGTCTGCTTGTTTTTAGAAGGATGTTTACTCAAGCCAAAAATAGGAAAAAAATAAAATAAAATAAAACCACAGTATGTAATCTGGAGAGCAGGAGAAAGCAATTCCCACTAAATCTATAAATCCTCCTATGTCAGATCTTAGGGATTTTCTGAACTGAGGTTGAATTCCTGTGTCCCTGTGGAAGTTATTTTGGCTAGTCTAATTTAGTTCATTGTTAAATGCTGTGAATATGTTGGTTAAAAGGCATATATTTTCTGGTCTAATTAATAGAAGGATATAAAACTGGACCAAAGCCATTTCCAAAGTGAGAAGTACCAGAGGTGCTGACCTACTTTGTATGTCATAATGAATGTCTCCATTAATCTATTTTAAGCTTCCAGCCATTAGTATTTGCTTTAGCTAAGAGCTAGATTTGGAGAATTTGCTGCCCAACTCGTTTCTGTGACTGAAGCAATGGAACCCCAAGGTTCAGTCCCTGAACTGTTGTCTGTAAGGTTGAAGCTAGAAGGATGAGTTAGGGAAGGTTTATCTTTGTTTTGCACAGAAACAACCAAGCTTATTTATCAGTTATATTATTCTTATTATGAATCCTCATCAGACTTTTCATGTTTGAAAACTGTTGTGTGCCATCTTGTTGTTGTTGATGTTATGTGCCATCGAGTCGGTTCTGACCCATAGCGACCCTGTATTGTGCCATCTAGTAGATGCTAATTCACAGTGACTCCATGTGACAGTGTAGAAATGACCCATGGGATTTTCTTGGCTGCTTCTCATAAACCCTATAAAGGGTCACTATGGGTTGGAACCAACTCAACGGCACTTAATAACAATAACAATCTTTGGTCAGTAATAAACTAATGATAGCATTAAGTCTATGTCGCTATGGGTCGGACCCGACTCGATGGCACTTAACAACAACAACAACAACATCTTTAGATAGTTTTAATTTTTCTTCAATGCTTATCTAACACTGCTATTATCTACTCTATCTAGAGTTTGTGTCTTCAACAAAGAGCATGGCAGAGGCAAAGGACAGTCCTGGCATGGTGCTGTAGGATAAGCACTAGACTGGTAACCACAAGGTAGGCAGTTCAAATCCATCAGCTGCTCCTCAGAAACCCTATATAGGGTTGCTATGAATTGGAACTGACTGCTCAGCACACACCACCACCACCACCACCAAGGTATTACCAATTCTGCTTCATGGCGACCTCATGTGTGTTAGTAGAACTGTGCTTCATAAAATATTCAATGACTAACTTTTCTGAACTAAATTGCCAGGTCTTTCTTCTGAGGCACCTAAGTGGACTTGAACCTCCAACCTTTGGTTAGCAGCTGACCACATTAACTATTTGTACTGTCCAGGGGCTCCATACCTGGGTATTTTAAACTATTGACAATTTTATGAAGATAACTTTCACACTGCACCAGTGTACTAAGACACAGTTTCCATGACTATTGTTGGTTGAGAAACCAGCATTTTCATGGAACTACTAACCCAAGATCCATCAGAACAAGAATTCATTACTTAGGACTGAATGACTTGATGATGGTAATTTTATTATGGCAATTTATTTAGAATATCATTGATTTGTTTAAACCTGCCTTGGAAACCCGCTACAGGGTCAGTCAAGAGTCAGAACTGACTTAGCAGCATACTACCACTAGTGTTTACTATGTGAGTTAACCTGTTACTTAACTAAAAGGTGACCTCAGTTTCAGTTCAAGATGGAAAGAGTATCTCAGGACACTAGGCTCAGGGACTTCTCCAGTTTCAGCCAGGCAGGTAAGTCTGTTTTGTTCTGTTTTTAATTTGAGCTTCTATTCCACGCTTTTATCTCATTCTATTAGGATGCATCATCTGTTGTTGCCCTGATCAGAATGGTTGGCAGTGGTAGCCAGACACTACCTAGCTCCTCACAGTTTAGGAGGCTAGAAGCTCAAGTTCAGGCTTCTGGTTTGACTCTTGATTTCCTTCTTTTTCTTTTGCTCCAGATGAGTAGAGACCAATAATAGTATCTTAGATAGCTGCTAATAAGCTCTTAAGACCCCAGACATTACTCACTAAACTAGGATGTAGAACATAAACTTTCTGAACTATATTATGCCTGCTGACCAAAAAGTCCCATGAGACTCTGGTCTTAATCCTTCCAACTCAGGAAATCAGTCTTGAGAGGTATTTGGTTATATCAAAGAAGTATCCATAACTGTGTCTGCTATGTGTGTTATTACATATATATATATGAATATATGTGTATACAGTAATGTATATACATATGCATATGTGTATATATATATATGTGTGTGTATATATATATATATACACATACATATATATTTGTTTTTGTTGTTGTTAGGTGCTATCAAGTTGGGTCTGATTCATAGTGACCCCATGAACAACAGAATGAAGCACTGTTCAGTCCTACACCATCCTCACAATTGTTGCTATGTTTGAGTCCATTGTTTTAGCCATGGTATTAATCCATCTCACTGAGAGTTTTCTTCTTTTTTGCTGACCCTGTACTTTACCAAGCATAATGTCCTTCTCGACAGAATGGTCCCTTCTGATAATGTGTGCAAAGTGTGTGATACCAAGTATCATCACCCTGGCGTCTAAGGATCATTCTGTCTGTATAAACATATACTCAAATACTTGTATATGCACTCCCTTTTGTTGTTGTTGTTAAGTGCTGTTGATTTAGTTCTGACCCATAGCAAAATAGGGTTTCCAAGGAACAGTTGGTGGGTTTGACCCACCAACCTAGTGGTTCAAAGTGACCATTCAGTACAATGCATTATCCTACAGCTCCACACCAGGACTCCCTTTTAATAGGCTATAATTGAAAGAACCAGTTATTCCAGGCAATTGTGGACTTTCCTGGAATATCTTACTGGAGAATAATGTTCATTTAATCAGGTATGACAAGCCATTTTTAGGAACAAAGTTTGGCTGTCAGTGCCTACAAATTAGCCTAAAACCTGGTTTGAGCATCCAGCTTTACAGGTGGATCCAATCATATAGGTAAGGTAAATCATTCAGGAAGGCCCTTGGAGTATTTTTGAAACCCCAATAAAACAGGAATTCACTCAAATCTATAGGTATTACAGGTGATATTTGGTGGAGAGCTTCTTGAGTTTGGTTTCCTAGCTTCCAGATAGCAAACAAGAGATGTTTTTAAAGCCTAATGAGATTCTTTATGACAACTTCCAGACAGATGCTAATTTGGAATTGTTTAATGCTGTATGGTTCCAGATTTTGCAAAGAAAATTGAAGGAGGACTCTCTAGTAAATTAACACTCTTCAAGCATCTATATAAATAATCAGCTAAACATAATGAGACCAACCTTTGTGTGTATGTGATCAAGCTTATGCTTTCTTTGAAATTATGTATGATAACAAGGGAAGAGGACACTCAGGAAATTGTCATTCTTTGAAATAGACAAAAGGAATTGCTGGGTGCCTTTTTCAACAGAATGCTGAGCTTTATCTAGTAGACCCTACAGGACTATCTGATCCAATAGATATAGATCTGCACGTTTAGATAAACAACAGCAACAAAAACAATTGCTTGTGAGTATGTGTTGCAAAGTAGAACTGTGCTTCATAGGGTTCTCATGGCTGTGACCTTTTGGTCTCCAGGTGTTTCATTTGAGGAGCCTCTGAGTAGATTCAAATTGCAGACCTTTTGGTTAGTGGTTGAACATTTAACTCTTTGAACCATCCAGAACTCCTTCTGATTCTTTAACTCCATGACTTTGAGTAGATTTTCACTCACAGAAACCCTGTATAGGGTTTCCTAGGCTGTGTATCTTTACAGGAGCAGAAAGTCTCAACTTTCTTCTGCAGAGTAGCTGGTGGATTTGAACCACCAACTTTGTGATTAGCAGTCTAGTGTTTACCCTACAGAGCCACCAGGGTTCCTTTCTGATCCTATGTGGTGTGCAAAGGAGTCCTGGGTTAGTGCAAACAGTTAAGTATTCTAGAGAATTAATGGTTTGAACCCACCAAAGGTGCCTTAGGTCAGATTCCCTAACTGCTAGGTCATTTAATGCCTATCTATAATATGCTCTTGTCATTTCCTTGTCACTATTTCCCTGCTGAGTTGCCAATTCCATAAATTCCCTTTGTTGGTGTCACACTGAAAGCATTTAAATTGCTTAATTCACGTTATTTAATAAGGCAGTGACAATAGGCTATACTGAGATTCTGCCCACATTGCATAGTGATATTTTCATAATTAATGGGGAACCTAGATGAACAAAAAGTCTTAATTAGTTGGAATCCTTTTTATTCCCAATCCAAGTATTGTGTTCTGAGCACTCCCAACCTAGTTTACCATACCTACTCTAGTCTCAACTCTAGGGCCAAGGCTTTATAGATCACCCAACTATGCCATTTTGATAGCAGGGCCTTAATTTTATCCATACATAGTTTTCATTATAAGCATCTTCACATAACTGGTGCCCTCACTTGGTAGAAATTAAATGTTTTCAGAATGAATAAATGAATTAAAAAATACTGCTATCAGTACTAGGACATCTGGTGTGATGCTGTAGGATAAGCACTGGACTGGGAACCACAAGATTGGCAGTTCAAACCCACCTGCTTCTCCTTGGAAACTCTATATATGGTCACTGTGATTTGGAACTGACTCAATGGCACTTAACAATAACAACAACACAGTTATTAATGCTTCTCATTTGGAATTATTTCTGGAATGTCAAGAACCTGGATCATTTTCTTATTTTCAGTATTTTCTTTTTATGAATGACTAAGATTAACCCTTCTTGAACATCTGCCTCCAATAGCTAACTTGAAGGAGCCCACTTTTCAACAACTTCACTGCTATCACTTTAGCCCAGGCTCCGTCAGCTCTTCCTAGGACCACTTCAATAGATTCC